CCCCCGAAACACCAGGGGACCCCCTTGCTCTCAAAGATGATTTCATTTTAGTTTCGTTTTTGAATTTGGCCAGCGGTTATGAAAACATGAATGATAATTTATTTTAATGCGGTGCACTGTCGCCCTTTCTACGTAAAAATCAGTCAAATCATGTAATGTGAAAGTCGTACAGTCTTGCTCGAGACTAAAAAAACGAGTTGAAAGTGTTCCGAGCCGCTGAAGAGACACTGTTTTTCAAGCGCTTTCCGCGAGCGCGATTTGAGACGGAGTGAAACAGACAAATGCGTTTCATTGATTCGTTCATAACCATTCATACCCCGCTCCACCACAGATATCATATCACTTTCACAGATATCAATAATTCCAAATTGTGTATTGAATTAATTGAGTAAATATGAACGCACAGGAGAAATCCAGAGGGAAGGAGAAAGCTTGATAATTTTGGCCAGATTGAGGATATAAAAACAAGCCAAAAATAAAAGCAAAGTTTAAAAGTGTGAATGTTTGATTAACACCCTGCAGACCGGAGGTGGGACAGCTTATTAGACAGGAAGAGTTTTTTTTTATGACGATGTCATCATAATGTAGTGATCATTTTCCTATTTGCAGTAAAGTGGGAGTAGATATAGCTCAAAAGGTGGGGGAAAGAATACCAAGGTGGAGGTTTAAATCAGCCAATTGGGATAAGTATAAGGAGGTATGTGAAAGCAAAATGAAGGAAATTAGTAATTTTATGATAGATGTCGATGTTTTTAATAATAAAATATGTGAGGTTCTTCAGAGTACAGCTGTAGAAGTAATAGGTAAGAAGAAGGCAAGCAGCAGGAGGAAAGCTGTGCCATGGTGGAGTGAGGAGTGTAATGAGGCAATTATAAGGAGAAATAAAGCCCTCAAGAGGGTAAGAAGGTCACTTAACTTTAATGAATGGTTTAGTTTATTATAAAAGGGCACAGGCTATAGTGAGAAGAGTAATTCGGACATCTAATAGAAATTATTGGAGGGAATTTTGTAAAAGTATTGGTGAAGACATTGAAATTAATGAAGTATGGAGTATGATAAGAAAGATGGGAGGGATACAAAAAGATTGCAACATACCTGGTTTAATATATAATAATAGACAAATTTGATCTGAAAGCGGAAAAGCAGAGGTGTTTGCAGAAACATTCGTTAAAGTTCACAGTAACTCAAATTTATCAGAGGATTTAAAGAAAAATAGGGACCAGATTCTAAGTAAATAGCCTCATTTATTGGAGGATAAAGGACCATCTGGATGTACGTTGGATTCAGAATTAACCTGGTATGAATTGAAAAAAGCGCCTGCAGGGGTTAAACAAACTTCTCCAGGCTGAGATGACATCCGTTATGAGATGGTAAACCATCTATCAGAAGCATCATTAGATTTAATCTTGAGCCTTTTTAATAAGGTTTGGGAGTCAGGAAAGTTACCAGCTGACTGGAAGCGTGGGATTATAATGCCAATTGCAAAACCAGACAAGGACCATACGCAGCCAACTAACTACAGGCCCATAGCTTTAACATCTAATTTGTGCAAACTGATGGCGCGTATGGTAATGAGTAGACTGGTATATGTCATTGAGAAGAAAAATGTCTTATCACCATACCAAAGTGGTTTTAGAAAAGGATGTAACACAATGGACTCTTGGAATCTGAAATAAGAAAGGCTCAGGTAAATAAGGAAGCTTTAGTATTTTTTTTATGTTGAAAAGGCCTATGATATGATGTGGAAAGAGGGACTTTTAATTAAATTAGATTAAAGGAAGAATGTATAACTAGATCAGGAATTTCTTGTTCAATAGAACTATACAAGTTAGAGTGGGTACTGCTTTTTCTCAGATACGTACAATAGAGAATGGAACACCTCAGCTCAGGGTAGCGTTAGCAGTCCAATTCTGTTTCATTTAATGGTTAATGACATTTTTACAATTGTTGAAAGTGAGATAGGAAGATTGTTGTATGCAGATGATGGTGCGTTGTGGAAAAGTGTATGTAGACTGCTGTTAATAATGTAGAGAATTGGGCTAATGAATGGGGTTTCCGTTTTTCTGTAGCAAAAACTCAGGCGATGTTTTGCTAAGAAGAATCAATTCTACCGTTAATATTAAAATGTATGGACAAGAGTTGGAGCAAACATCAGTTGTTCGTTTTCTAGGAATATGGATGGATTTGAAACTGAATTTTAAAATCCATATCCAGAAGTTGGTGGACAAATGCAAAAAAAGCGTTAAATGTCATGAGATGTCTAGCAGGAGTTGATCGGGGGGCTTGCCGACAGTCCCTTAAAAGAATATATTGTGCTCTGATAAGATCGGCTATTGATTATGGTAGTATAGTATATAGCTCTGCATCTAATACACAACTTTTAAAATTAGAGGCAATACAATCACAAGCAATGAGAAGTTGTTGCGGAGCTCTTAGATCATCCCCTTTATCAGCAGTTCATGTAGAGATGGGCGAGATGCCTAAGTTAAAGATGAGGTACTGGATAAGCATAAAGGGACACTCGGACAGTCATCCAGTTAAAATGGTGTTGAAGGACTGTTGGGAATATGAATATAAAAAGTTATCAAGCTTTGGATGGAAGGCCAATGAGGAAGTGCAGGAAATGGGTTTAAGTGATATACATATTGCCCCTACTGTGGCTAGGTCAGCAATCCCTCCTTGGCTTTTCCCAATGCCTTTGATTGACATCCAAATGCATGAAGAAAAACATAACAATGAAACAAGTGTGTTAGAAAGTTTAGTTGTACAGCAATATATAGATCTTACATATTATAGTGCAGTGCAAATATACACTGATGGTTCAAAGGATCCAGACAAACAGCTGCAGCATATATTCCCCTATTCAAAATTAAAATGTCAAAAAGAACCTCAGATCATATTTCTGTATTTACTGCAGAACTGATATTATATTAATATTAATAGCACTTCAGTGGATAGAAGAAATACAACCAACAAATGCACAGATTCTCTTTCAGCACTAAACAGTTTGTCAAGTGGAAAATCATTAGCAAGACAAGACATGATAAATGAAGTAATGCAGAGTCTTATTTAGAATAAGACAGTATGGACTTTACTTCTGGTAAGCTTCGTGTGGGTACCATCACATATGGGTGTGAAAAGAAATGAGGAGGCTGATCATCTGGCTAAACAGGCATTAAACCATTTACAAATAGGCCTAGTTGTTGAAGTGGCATTAAGTAAAACAGAAATAAAAGCGGTAATAGCAAAAGAAATACGGGAAATATGGCAGAATGAATGGAAAAAAGGAACAAAAAAAAGACATTTGCACTGCATACAAGAAAAAGTTGGTTCAGAGAAAAGAAGATTTGGAAACAGGAAAGAGGACGGTTTAATAACAAGAATACGTATTGCTCATTGTTTATTAAATCAGTGCTTGCATAGCAGGTGCACACATAGACATCAAAGGGGGCTTGAGGGGGAACTCTCTCTTCCTCGAGAGAAAGTGCCCTTTTTTCTGGGGAGTTTTTTTTTTAAATAATAAATGAATATATTTGTGCGTGTGTGTGTGTTTCTGTTTGCGCACAGCTGTCCCTGTCAAACAAATAAAAAAATCTAAATGTCAGGAAATGCGCCTCCGCAACACAGCAGTGTTAAGCGCACATTTGATCAGCTGCACATCAGGTCACAGACATGCAGAGAGCCACAGAAGTGAAGACCTCCCTCCCTTTCCAGTTGTGTTTGTCTTGGTGTGGAGGTGAACGGTGATGAACAACAGACTAAGCTACCTGTGCCTCGAATTTACAGCTAATTATCCTATCCATGACTCATGAGAGCTACCAAGTTAGCTAAAGTTTAGCTAAGGCAATAGGAAGTCTAGTAGGTTAGACCAGTGCAGGTTCTTTCACTGCATGATTCAGTTTATTAAAATGCATTTAGAATGATCACAAAATGCAACATATGGGGGCAGAAATGTATATATTTATATCATTTCATATAGTGAATCAGTATCACGTGAAGACTGACGTTTTTTTCCACCAAAAAGCAACATGAGAAATGTGATATGGATTTTATACAGCAGTTCAATAAACAAGAATTTAATATTAAGACACTTACGTTTTAGACACAATATTGACTCAATTTTTGCTCTATTTCGCCAACAAATATAAGTGTTTCGTTCCTGAATGAATCACCCGTTTAAATGATTCGGTTCAATTTAAACTTATTGGAAAAGATTAATTTCTATCACTGCTGTGAACTGAACACCACACAGAATATGCAGAATATCAAAAACTTTAGAAGTCAGCTGTCCACGGTAGTCCTTATAAACCTTATCCTTATCAGATATCAGCACAATAACACACTCAGCAAAATATAATCTAATTATTGTTATCGATAAAATCCCAGAAAATATTGAGATATATACAATATTGCACACCCCTAATATATTTAACGTTTTGTTTAGAAAAAAATTTAAATAAATATGAGAAGTGCCCTTTTTTCCACTTGAGCCCCTGCCCCTCAAAAATGTCTGTCCCTGCTGCATAGAATAGGAAAACATGAAAACGGAAATTGTGACAAATGTGGGTTAGCAGAAACTGTAGAACATGTACTTATAAAATGTGAGGCTTATGAAAGAGAACGTTTCCAGCTAAGTCAAGCTTTAAGATATTTGGAAATAAATGATCTGTCACTCCAGGTTCTGTGCCGAACTATATACTATGGTGCCATAATCAATCATAGGTCTAATCATTGCACAATATACTCTTTTCAATGCCTGTCGGGTTGCACCCCAATCTACCCCTGCCAAACATCTTAAAATATTTATTCCCTTTTTACATTTATCTATTACTTTATTAATATGTAATGCAAAAGTTAGTTTTGAGTCCATCCATAATCCAAGGAACCTAATTTCTGTTACCTGCTCTAACATTTGTTGTGTTTTTCTTTCTTTCTTGTAAGTAGTTGTTGTTTCTAAAACTTCCTATCCATTGTGCGCTCCACACTCCTTTCCAGTAGGTGGCGGGAATGCACCTTTAAGTTGGCTCGCCAACCGCCATTAAATCCTAAAAGAAGACGAAGAAGATACGTCATTTCCGCGCGACAGCAAACGCGATGGCAGAATCAGGGTGCGTATTTGGACTTTACAGAAAAAAATCCTAAACAATCGGCGATGAACATCTGAAAGTTTCTTTCATATTTTTCATTTTTAGTACTTATGGGATGTCGTTACTTTTTTAGTATAGTTATTTTTTTACGGATGGTGTGTAAAGAAAAGTTTATGGGGGTTAAGTAGAGCTTGTTTTCACATGGAGCTACAGCCTCTCTGAACTGATATCAGAGGCCATATTAATACTCATTATAAGTCCCGTTTGTTTTCAACTCTTCTTTTTAGTACTGACAGTTTTTTTTATACTGTAATGTGTAGATATGTTTTATATGTGGAAATGCGGAATTGGTTACTGTGGCGTTAAGTTGGCAGTATGGAGAAAACTTGCTCGAGTTTATTTGCACTAACGTTATGATATTCAGCATTAATTTTATTTTTAAAAATGCACGTTTATGTCTTTTGACCACACGATCCCATATGTGACGATGGCTGCGTTTACACTTGGCATTAACATGCGACCTGTATCCGTATGTTGTCCACATGCACATTGAAAAGACAAGTGTAAACGCGCTTCTGATCGGAATGTTATCCGATCAGCGTGTCCTGGTCCAGAGGTAGTCGAGGACGCATTGTGATCGGATCTGCCATGTCCACACGTACACGGGTATTTTTATGAACGGAGTTTTTCCTCCTTCCGTTTAAAAATAAAATCTCCGTCCACTTTAAAACGCAATCGCATGCTATGAAGCACTGTCAAGAGCATGTCAAACCAACAGGTGGCGATATAATCTCAACCGTAAAGCCATGTTGGCCAATCTGAAGCCTGAAAAAGTCTCCAGTAGGCGGAGATAACAGCGCAGGCGCCGACGTCACAACCCAAAATCTCCTCGGTTTTGAGTTTTCAAAAATGTTCGGTTTCAGTGAACTGGTGCTGCATTTGCGTGTCGACGAATGGCCAAACCGTGTAGAAAAAGCTGCGGTTATAAAAATTACCGCAGTTTTGTGGACCGTGTAAACGCAATCCAGCCATCGTGTCTGCATTCGCAGGTCGACATCACGCAAAACGCCGCCCCCTCTCTCCCTCTCTGTCGGAAGAACAGCGCTAGTGAGACTCGTACATTTATTTTCATTTGTAAAACGTCCCACGACTGAAAATAGATTTCAAAAGAAAACCCACCACTTCAGGTCGACTTTGCACC